GCTTTGGGGTTCTGGTTTTGGTCATAATGTCCGGCCGTAGACCTCTCCATGTCACAGGCTCACCGATGTCCGACTTCGAGAGAGCAAATTTGATATCTTGGGCAAGGCAACTGGCTTGCAATGGGAGGCTTTTGGAACTAGTCGACCCTTCAATTCACTCACTGAATAAGGATCAAGCATTGCTCTGTATTACCATTGCATTGTTGTGCCTACAAAGATCACCAAGCAAGCGCCCTACCATGAAAGAGATCGTGGTGATGCTTTCCGGTGAGACGGAACCACCGCATTTGCCTTTAGAGTTTTCGCCTTCACCGCCATCGCATTTCCTGTTCAAGCCCCGGAAGAAGGCTCGATGAGTGTCCGATTTCCTGATCAATCGTTCTGATTTAACTGTAGAGCTTTGTACCTACTTGTAGGTCATTTCCTCACTTTCTTGCGTATGTCGAAATAGTTGCAAAAAATGAAAAAGGAAGAAAGAAAGAAAAACAAGAGAAGCTACTCACATTAACTCATAAATGTGTCACTTTTTGCTTGTTTTGTTCTTCAATTGCATTTTTAAGGTGTTTACTTGTCTAAAAGTCCCCCCCTTTAACGAATGCTTGACTACTACATGTATGACTTAGGATCAGCCCCATTTAGGAATCTCAGGATGGCCGGTGAATGTAAATCTACGGACGTATTGTCTTTTTTTTCACTTTTGGACCGAGATGTTACCTTGCTTAAATTTGCTCCAAAGCTTAATTAACTGTTGATTTGGTCCCTATAGGCCCCAGTGTGTATATCAGTTTGCCATTGTCTTGTAGCTTTTAGAAAGTAGCTGATTTTTTGTTCCGAGGATCATGAAATTCAGCAGCGGGGGGACAACTCTTGGACCCATGCTTTCATTTTGCATTATGACTGCAAAGTCGCATTGATTCGGTAAGGAAAAATCCAAATTAGTAGGTCATGAACTGATGATGAAAGGTGAAGCTCAACCGATAGAGGAACAGTGTTGGGAGAGGTTGCTTCTTGTTTAGAGGTCTGACCTTGCTCGACTTCGATCCAATGTGATTACGGGATCAACCTTATAATGATGTTGTGCACGTGATATTTTTTCACTTTTGCTTAAAATGAGCATCTTCGGTGTGGGGATATTTCCTTTTTAGTTTGCAGTTGAGTTAAAGCATCACATTTCGGACGTTTGTCTCTCTTAGCTGTTGTGAACGTTCTAAATGTGTTTACCGTTACCAAAATTACAAGATTCTCACTGTTTACAAGTTTTATAAAAAGGAATGTGTTAAAAAGTTGTCCCAATACGCCAAGTTCTGTTCGGTTCTCAACGAGTTTTACACTGAATTTGGCTAAGAGTAGGTCAGTTTGATAGTTGAAGAACACAAGATCTTATAAACTAGATGAACAAAAACCTGAACAGGTGAGTGCTTTTACATAAAACACCAGCATGTATTTATAATGTTCCAATTTTTTCCTCCATTGAGTGACTATTTTTATAAAAAAAATTAATATGCTTATAAGATAATATTTTTTAAAAAAATTATTACACATAAAACTCTTAAATTATACTTTTTTGAATTAGGTGTTTAAATTGTTAAACCAAATATTTATGTTATAATGTATATTACTGGAGGGAAAATTCTACAGCGCACGTTGCATATCGTAATATACCAGTAAAGTGACGCACCAAAATGTATCGAAACGTACTACTAGTTAAATTATCCTTATTAAGTAAATATTAAAAAGGATAAATTACAATTTTGTACCTAATTTATTATTTTTTTTAATTTTAGTATTTAAAATTTAATTTTTTAAAAATCATTGATGGTAAATGCTTATGTGGTATGACATGTCATTTTTTTTTATTTTTTTAGTTACCACATTACTTTTTTTCAATATTTTTTTAATTAATTTTATTGCTCCTAATATGAATTGTTCTTAAGTATCTTACATGAGAAACTAACCACTCAAGCATTGAACTAAACTAGTCATTTAAGAAAATTTCACCACATTTTGAATTTAACTTATATAACAATATCACCACAAAATCAATATTTTTCGATGATTATAAGATTCAAATTTGGGACACTTTAATTTAATCACCGAATACTTAGTCACTGAACTATAATATGAATTTTTTTTATTACACTGAACTTAATACTTACTTATATTATTATTAAATTTAAAGTTAATATTTCACTTTATTTAGAAATAAAAAATTAAAAAATTCAAATATTTTTTATAAAATTATATGAAATAATTATAAAAAAGGTAAATTTATAATATTCTAAAAATATTTATTTATTTTTTAAAATCCAATTAATTATTTATTTGAAAAAAATTATTTTTAAATTATTAATTTAAAATTTAAATTTATGATAAATTATACATTTATTATCCAACTATTACTCCGGTTCCATACAATATTATTAGATAATTTAAAAATAATATTATTTTAGACAAAAAAAATAATATGATTTTAAAAAATAATTAAATATTTTAAAATATTTTCATAATATTATAAATAAACTTTAAAAATAATTTAATATGATTTTTATAAGTACTTAACTATTTAATTAGTTTTTTATTTCCAAATAAAGTTAAAGATTATTCTTTAATTTAATAATGATATAAGTATGCATGATGTTTGATATAATAAAAATAGATTCACATTATAGTTGAATGACTAAACTTTCTATCATTAATTTAAAGTGTCACGTAGTCAAATTTTATAATTATTGAAAAATATTGATTTTGTGGCGATATTATTATATAAGTTAAATAAAAAATATGATAAAAAATAATATAAATTATTGGTTTAATTCAATGGTTGAATGTCTTGCATTTGATGTAAGAGGCCTAGGTTTAATTCATGCTAAGTGTAAGAGTAATTTCTTTTATTTTGTCCTTATAATTGGTGACATGTGTCATCATTTTATTGGTTGAAAAAAATTAATTAAAAAATACTAACGGATAAATAGAAAAATGATGTGAAAATGAAAAAAAATGACATGTCATCCACATCACATTAGCGTTAATGATTTAAAAAAATTAGGTACTAAAACAAAATTAAAAAGATAGTGTAAATACTAAACATAGAATTTATCCTTTTACTATTTACTTAATAAAGATAATTTAGTTAGTAGTACGTTTCAGTTTGTTGTTTTAATGATATATTGCGATGTGCGACGTGCGCCGTAGACTTATCCATTAATATAGTAACCATTAAAGAGATTTATATTGTAAAAGTAATTACTATAGTATCTATTGGTTAAAATGGTAAGATATCATAAATATTAAAAATATAACATACATATAAAATGATTATAAAATTATACTCACAATATATTGCACGAGTTTTAAGATGAATAACATATAAAAAATTATACTAATAATACTTTTGGAATCGGATGTTATATAATTTGTTTTGATTCCTTAAGAACCTAAATTAAATTTATTTGAATTAAGTATTAATCGAGCTTTATTCGAATCGAATTTAAATAACTTATAATATATCTTATCTCATTTATATCTATAATACTTAACATTATGACCCTAAAGCATTTTTTTTCAATAAAAAGTATCATTTTTTAAAAAAAGGGTACTTTGTATTGATGAAATTACAAAGTAACCACTCCAATGACCTCGTTAAAAAACCTCCCTAATCTTATTCGGAGGAAAAAGAGTGTACCTTGGAGTGGGATGAGTACAAATAGCAGAGTGGAGAATAACACAATTAATGGAAATCATGGCCGTAAACACACCCCATATTTCCAGCACAGACCAAGCTTAAAAAGTGAAGATGAACTATAGCCCAAATACGCTATAATCAATAGCAGTGCTACGGACTGAGCCAACCAACGCAGAATTTCAATGCTGCCAACAAAACCCTACACGAAGCTATACAACTGAGCACCAAGAACCAACCAAAGCAGTACTACGATACTTCCAAATAACACTGATCATTCCAAAACAACCTGCCACCAGCTTAAAGAAAAGAAAACAAATACCCAGACCTCGTCTAAGCAATGCAATGTGCTAGAAAACATCCACTGTCGAAGCACTGGACAACCTGCACCACCGAAACATCAAAAAATTCCAAATTTCTGCTTATGCTCTGCTAACCTCGATCAAATATAATGGACTCGGGGCAACGAAGGAAATCTTGAGCAACAGGGAATTGAAACGGCCACAGATAATGCGCCCAAACACCTGTCTGCAGCAAAATAGAATTGAATATTTGATCCACCGAAAAAGAATAGCCATTAAATCTTACTTTGTTTCTACACAACCAAATTTTCCAGATTATACCAAAAAATCCCAATAGCCAAAGATTTCTAACTTTTTTCCTAATGATTTGATCGAACCATACCTGTAGCAATCCTTTAACGTTCAAAGGAATCACTTAGTTTACCTTCCACAAACCACACCATCTTTGCCACACTTTCCAAACCACATCACATTGACACAAAACATGAATAACAGTTTCCTTTTCCCGATTGCAGAAAATACAAAGAGACTGATCCGCACATTTCACTCCTCTTTTTTCCTATTCTGAAATTACTGGAAGCCTTTGATGGACAACTTTCCAAACGAACGCCGAAACTTTAAGAGGGATAAATTTACACCACACCAATTTGCAAATTGAATCTTCCATCTTACCAACGCAAGCCAACTTAATGCAAAATGCTTTAGTCTATCCACACCTTGAACTGAACTAACTGCTCTATTCAAAACTTGGATAAATTCAACCCACACAGCCCTTTCCCAATCAAACAAGGATCTTCTTAGTTCCAATTTCCATTCCCATACTCCTAGCACCCACTGACCAAACTCGCTAACCTTACCAGATATTTTTTGTTATCAACCCATAGAATCTCGAAAAAGAAACTTTTAAAGAACGCAATTCCGTCCAATGATCTGTCCAGAAATCTATTTTTTCGCCATTTCCCATCACACAACGAAGTTCAGACATAAACTCAACACCGTTAGCTACTGCCGGATTGACAATGTTGCGCCAAACCCATGACGAATTCAATGTAAAATCACCTTTAGATAATTAATACCACTCAAAATCACATTAAAATAACTTAATACCAAATATCTTTTCATTACTTAACCTAAAATTAAAGTCACATTTGAAACACTTTTAACAGAAAATGCCAATTAATAAGCAATAAATTAAGAATCACCTTCAAATTAATTAATTAATTAATTAATACCAAATACCTGAAATTAAAAATTAATACTGCATAAAAATTGAAAATTTTCAAAATAACATTTATAAAATAGCATAAAATGTAATTAATTAAATTAATTTTAATTTCAAATGTTAATTTATATACAACTATAAAGTGTCCATATTTACTATGTATTATATATGAGAGTTTAAAGTATAATTTAAAAAGGTTTTTAAAAGAATTGTTTAAGCTAAGATCTTTTCAATCTTCCAGTGCCACACTAATGGATCCCTACAAGTTACTCGGAATCGTCCAAAACCCGGACGGGTCACTCACTCGGCAAGCTCATTTCCCTTCGGTTCCAGCAACAGAAGAAACCTGCACCGAGTCCAACACATCTCAACTTGCTCTCTTTAAGGATATCCCTCTAAACCCTCAAAGCAAAACCTTCATTCGTCTCTACCGGCCGCCATCCCCACCACCGACAAGCATTGACAATAAGCTCCCTCTCTTAATAAACTTCCACGGCGGCGGCTTTATCCTCTTAAGTGCTACTTCTCGTCGTTTCCACGATGAATGTTGTGTCAAAACGGCTATGATCCCAGCCATAGTCATTTCACTAGAATACCGTCTTGCGCCGGAGCACCGCCTTCCGGCTGCATACGACGATGCGATGGAAACGATCACGTGGGTTCGGGATCAGGCGGTGAATATCGACGGATGTGATCCGTGGTTAAAAGAGTACGCAGATTTTTCCAAGTGTTTTTTATACGGTTCTAGTTCAGGTGGTAACATGGTTTTTCATACGGCTTTACGTGCATTGGACGTCGATATATTGCCTGTGATGATCATCGGGCTAATAATGAATCAACCTTACTTCGGTGGGGTAGAGAGGACTGAATCGGAGAAGAGATTCTCCGATGACCGGATCTTGCCTTTAGCGGCTAATGATCTGGCGTGGTCCTTGGCTTTGCCGAAGGGAGCTGATCATGATCATGTTTTTTGTAATCCAATGACGGCTGATGAGTCTTTTAAGGAGAAGATGGGACGGTTGCCACGTTGCTTTGTGTCTGGCCACGGAGGGGATCCATTGATCGACAGGCAGAGGGAGTTGGTGAAAATGCTGGAGGCGCGTGGCGTGGACGTGGTTCCAGAGTTCGCTGAAGGAGGTTGTCATGGGGTAGAGATTTTTGATCCGTTGAAGGCGGAAGTTCATCTCCAGAGCATCAAGGAATTCGTTAACACTTCATGTTCGTGTGTTAATGTTGTTGCTGCCAAATCAACCCCGTCAGATTTCATACCGGCAACACAATTAATTTCGAATTAATTATTTTTCAAATTACACTATTCTTTTTCTTTAAGTTTGAGTTGATTAAAAAATAATATCTTTTGAATCTTTCTTAATTATTGGAAATTTATTTCCTCAAATTGGAGTTCTCCAAGGAATGTCAAGACTTGTTCTTAGATGGATGAATCTTCTTCGAGGCCTTGGTGATTGTTGTTAGATGGTTGAATCCTCTTCAATTGTCCTCAAGACTTGATCTTGAAAACGTTTTTGGTCCCCTTTATTTTGGTCCCCTCTATAAATACTCAAGACATACTCTGCAGTTTTCGGGTCTGGAATGAACAAATGTGATAGGCTCCCTCAGCGATCCTCTACTAACCTGCGCACGGAAACCATTCCATACACTGAGCTCACAAGCTCAGTGCCACGAAAATAACTATGCAATACTACATGCATTCATATCATGAACATGTAGGAATGTAAAGTCATGAACATGAAAAAGTACATATCAAACATAAGATAGGCCAAGTGGTGTGGTCGGAGGAATTTACGTGCATCTCGAATGACACACTAGCCTATCTAGAACGTGATAGCTTCGGGGTAAGAACTATAATTTACGTGCGTCGGAACTTATGGCCCTCAGTCTACCTCGGATCCTCGAAGTTGGGATGAGGTTCAGAATTTACGTGCATCGGAATCTCACAACTCGTACCTAGTTGAGCATAGAGTACAATTCTAGAATTTGCGTGCATCAAAATTTGTACCAGTACGACCCGAAATTTACATGCATTAGATGTGTACCACAAAAACAATATTCGGATATTTACAAACAAAAGGCAAATCGTCATAATGCTAGAGTAACTCAGGTGTCCTAAACGTTTCCCGAGCATCATACAAAGGCAAATCTTATGTCATCCTATTATGCTTGTTTTCTAGGTGAGAATTGAGTTAATTTGCTTACTTTCACTTGCATTTAATACTTAAGGCTTATACGGATTCAACCCACATAATCATGAGCACCCAAACAATTTATACAAAATTACCCCAAAAATCATTGTGGGTATTAGTACTGTACCAGTAGTATCGATACTCGCATGAGTATTGATATCAATTTTAGCTTCGATGTTTTGAAAATGCCCTGGGTATCGATACTCTACCCTCAATATCAATACTCCCATGAGTATTGGTACTAAATTGGTATTATGAAATCTGAAACTTGCCACCAGTATTGATACCACCTCTGAGTATCAATACTGGACCCCGAGTATCGATACTCCTTGAAAGGGTATCGATATCGCCCTTATAAATTGCTTGGTTTTTTCTATTTCACGAAGAATAATATCGGTATTGTTATTATAGTATCGACACCGACAACCTAGGTGCTGTATTTTGAGCACCAAATCATGCCCAAAATGCACTTATTGCCTATCCTAAGACTAGTAAAGCTTAATAATGTCTTATTTGAGGTCTTAGAGGTAAAAAAGAACCATCTTTCATGCATATAACACACAAACACAAATCTTACCATGAAATTTCTCTAGCATGTTTGCATGAACAAACATACCATATATGCACATTTAATGAAATACATGTGGTATGGACAAGATAAAATCGTGTTACCTTGAGTTAGAATCATGTTACCTTGAGTCTAAGCTACTGAGAAACATTCTTGAATCACCCTAGAGTGAACTTTTCCTTCTCCCTTGCTTTAGAGCTCTCACCCTTCTCTTGCACTAATTAAAACCATGGAAAATGAGTTATTAACTCATTTTAGGATTTAGGAAGACATTAAAATGATCCTACAATTCAAAACTCTACAAAAAATAGATTAAACTCCAAAGTCTCATAAACTCATTTTTGGTTGACTTACCCGAACCTTGAAAAAAAAGGCTAAAATGGAAGCGTGAGAGATGACAATTGTGGTTCTTACCTTGGAATTTTTGGTTTATGAATGACAAACTAACATATTTGACCTTTATATTGACCAAGGAGGAAAGAAGAGAGGAAGAAGAGACAAAGTTGAGATAAAAAAGAGGACGAAGAGGCCAGACGTGATAACATCAACCATTAAGAGTTTTCAACTTTCTTTTAAAAAAATTGGTCTAATTACTCCCCTAGTTCCTCCAAATCTTGGTCCAGATTAAAATCACCCTTTTTAAATCTTATTGGGCTCATCTTAAGCCCAAATCAAATCCAATTGAGTCAAAGTCTTGACATACTAAGGAAAATTAAACCAAAAACTGAAATGAATAAACACGAAACTCCTAATCATATTTTGGGCCGTTACAACTCTCCCCTCCTAAGAAGAAAATTCATCCTTGAAATTTATCTGAATAGAAGAGGTATGGATATTGAAGTTGTATATATTCCTCAGGTTCCCATGACGCTTCCTCAACGCCATGGTTTCTCCACAAAACCTTTACCAACGGTATCCTATTGTTTCTTAGTTCCTTAACATCTCTGGAAAGGATTCAATCGACTATTCTTCATAAGTCATATATTGCCTCACTTCGACTTGTTCAAGAGAAATAACGTGTTATGGATCAAATCGATATCGTCGGATCATGAAAACGTGGAACACATTGTGGATGCGCTCGAGTTCTATATGTAACGCCAAATGATAAGCCACTGGCCCAATTCTCTCCAAAATCTCGTATGGCCCGATGAATCTTGGCGCCAGTTTACCCTTGTGTCCAAAATCGAAGTACCTTCTTCCATATGGAGACTTTGAGAAACACCTTGTCTCATTCAATGAACTCAATATCCTTACGCTTCAGATCGGCATACGATCTCTGTCTGTCAGAAACCTCTTTCAAACATCTCTAAATCAACTAAACTTTTTCTTTGATTTCTGAGATCAAGTCAGGGCCTACTATCTTTCCCTTATTTAGCTCATCCCAACACAAAGGAGTCCTGCACTTACGCCCATAAAGAGCCTCATATGGGGCTATATGAATACTTACTTGATAATTGTTGTTGTAAGCAAACTCCACCAATGGTAAGTGATCCTCCCAACAACCCTCAAGATCTAAAACATGTCACCATATCATATCTTCCAAAATCTGAATGACGCACTCGGTTTGCCTATCTGTTTGAGGATGAAATGTGGTATTATAGTGCAACTTGGTACCCAAAGCTCCGAGCAGTGCTTTCTAAAACCGAGAAATGAAATGTAGATCTTTGTCTAAAATGATTGAGATAAGAACCCCATACAATATCACAATTTTATGGATGTAAAGCTGAACCAATCTCTCTAACATGAAGTTCATCCGAACTGAAAGAAAATGAGAATATTTGGTCAATCAAACTGCTATAACCCACACGGTATCGAGACAAAATCTCGTCATTAGAAGACTGGTTACAAAGTCCATCGTCACTCTCTCACATTCTCACTGCGAAATCAGAATCAGCTGCAATAATCCTAAGCGACCCTGGTGTTCCGCTTTGACTTGTTGGCACACTAAGCACTTAGCAACAAATTTGGATACTTCGCTCTTCATGCCTAACCACCAAAACAACAGTCGGAGCTCTTAGTATATTTTTTTGCTACCTGGATGAATGAAGAGGGGACTACACCTCATGGAGGATCTTATCACGAAACGGCCTGTTGTATGACACACATAAACAACATCGGAAGTACAATACACGTCCATCACATAACTCAAAACCTGGGGCATCACCTTGAAGGAGTTGCTCTACTCGGGTCTTCAAACGGTCGTTTGAACTTTTCAATCTCTTAACTTCATCCACCAGCTCGGGTTCAACTCTCAGCTCAGCTAGCAGACAACCCGATTCTGACAAACTTAGACGCGTTAGTAAAGCTCTCAGCTCTATCACAGTCTTCATGCTCAATACGTCCGCCACCATATTCGTTTTACCCGGATGATAGTCAATCACACAATCTTAGTCCTTTAGCAACTCTATCTATCTTCATTGCCTTAAGTTCAACTCTTTTTAAGTAAGCAGATACTTAAGGATCTTGTGATATATAAAGATGTGACACTTCTCTCCGAACAAGTAGTGCCTCTAAATTTTCAAGGTGAAAACCACTGCGGAAAGCTCCAAATCATGGGTAGGATAGTTCTATTCATGAGGCTAGCATTTACAAGACACATAGACCACAACCTTACCCTCTTGCATCAAAACACAACCCAAACCATTTATAGGTGCATCGTTAAACACTGTGAAGTCCTTACTCGAATATGGTTATGTCAAAATAGGGGCTTGCGTGAGGATTTCTTTCAACTGATCAAAGCTCTCTTAGAACTTCTTGATCCATACAAATGGGACCCCTTTCTGAAGTAGCTTGGTCAGTGGTATCACGATCATGGAGAAACCCTTGACGAAACAACGGTAGTATCCTACTAGGCTTAAGAAACTGCGCATCTCTGTGACATTCTTAGGTGGTTCCCACACTAACGTTGCCTTAATATTCTAAGGATCCACTTGGATGCCATCAGTTGCCACCACGTGACGTAAAAATGCCACTCCGGTCAATTAGAATTCACACTTTCTAAACTTACCATATATATGATGTTCCTGAAGTATCTGTAAAATAATACGGAGATGCTGATCATGCTCTTCCTTAGACTGAGAGTACACAATAATGTCGTCAATGAAGATTACCATAAATTGATCCAGATAGGGATGAAAAACTATGTTCATCAAATCCATGATCAGGGTATTGGTGAGTCCAAAAGGCATCACAGGAACTCATAATGGTCATAACTTATTCTGAAAGCGGTATTAGAAATGCTGGCATCCTTGACTTTCAATTGATAATACCCTAACCTTAAATTGATCTTGGAGAAAACACATGTGCCCTTAATATGGTTGAAAAAATCGTCAATATTAGGGAGAGGATAACGATTATTGATGGTTAACTTATTCAATTATCGATATTTGATGTAAAACCTCATTAACCTATCATTTTTCTTGCAAAAAGGACATGTGTTCCCCAAGGTGAAATGCTCGGTCGGATAAAACCTCTTCCAAGCAATTCTTGAATTTGGTTTTTTAACTCCTTCATATTCGTCGGTGCC